TATATATATATATATAATTTTACATCGAAGCAAGCAGTTGTGGAGGAAGTACTGCTAGCACTGAGCAACAAGAATGAAATGACTGCAGAAATAATCCAGAACAGATGACGGTATTATTTTACAGCAGCACTTCACACTGCTAGTGTCCTGATCACTGCATTTTGCACCAGTTGCAATCCTAAACTGGACCCCAAAGTCCCCACTTGCGACTCTCACTACAAGACTAGGTTTCTGTAGCCTACACAATGGAGAGGTGCCTTTGAACATAACGCAGTAATTACAACTGGTGCATCAGCCTAAAGCCTTCCAGAAGGCCACCAGGCCACCTGTTCCTATAGGAGCAACTGTCCTGGAGGAGTCTGTTGCATATTCCCCACGTCAGGGGGTGGGATGCCAGTCATTTCCTTTCTTCTCGTTTTGTTCTGCTGCCACTGTTACTCCCCTCTCAAGCTTAGAATCTTTCAGTCTCTAAATAGACATTGTAGGAGAACAGCAATCTGTTCTTTTCCAACCAGCAGATTTTATTAGCAGTCATGCCCTTTCATGAGCTTTTAATAAAATTTGTTACTTGCTACCAGGTTTCTGATTTTTCAGTTACTAAGCTAATGTACTGAAACTTTATGGGGAAGATATCTGGGTAACCTAAGAAGAAAGATATTTTTATGAAATAACTAAAACTTAGTTTTAAAAACAGGTTTAATTATGTCTACAAATAAGCATAGCCCAGCCCTAAACCTATTCTTTTAAAAAATATCTTAAACATTTAAAAAAAGAATATAAAGCATGATGAGCATAAAAAGAATGAAATATATACAATAATAAACACAGAGTTTGTGCTGTCATGGGGATTTCAATTAGTCAACATATATCCTACTGCATATACAATTCTACATCACTTTCTAAAAAAGAATCTAAGCTTTAAACTAAGAAAAAAAGCCATGTGGTTACCAAGAATTATAAACTATAACAAATGAGGTCAATGCAAGGAACCTCTGTATGGTCACTGATCTCAATCCATAATATCCATGGCAGGCCAAAACTTTCCAGATGTGACCCAAAGGTGCTTTTCAAAGAGGCAACTGGATTTCCTTTGTTTTTCTTTGAAGATGTTTTGCTTTTCACCCAGGAAGCTTCTTCAGCTCTGATCTTCCCCCACCATCCAGTCAGAACTGAAGAAGCTTCTTGGATGAGAAGCGGAACTTCTTCAAAGAAAAACAAGGAAAGTCCAGTTGCCTCTCGAAAAAAGCACCTTTGGGTCACATCTGGAAAGTGTTGGCCCTCCATGGATATCATGGATTGAGATCAGTTCCTTATCTTGATTATCACCTGGATCCATAAATTTGCAGAAGCCCCTGTCAACCATCGACAACCTTAAGCCAAAGCTAGTTGATGTGTGTGTGT